CCCCCCAGAGGGACTTACCTCCATCAACAAGGCGCCAACAGTAGATCTCCCCACACCAATCTTGTGTCCCTCTGACCGGTAGCTGTCAGGAGTGGCCAGCTTCCAGAGGGCAATAGCTACGCTCTTCTCCAGGGGGATGGCAGGGCGCAGGTGGATGTCCTGTCATAGCAGGGCAGGGGCAAGTCAGGCACAGAGCTCCTGGAAGGTGGACTTTCGCATCTGGAAATTTCAGAGCCAAGCCTGGTCATCCCACTGCTCCATTACGAGCCAGTCCCACCAGTCCATATTTGTCTCCAGCCTCCAAAATCACCTCTCCTGGAAAAAGTTCGGTGGCAAGAACAGTGCTGCTGCATTCTGGAGGAGAGGCTCTATCCTGGGTACAGGATCCGGACCAGGCATTAAGAGCATGAAAGTCTCATGCAGTTGCAGCAGCACTTGAAGCACTGTGGAGTGGGGCCATTGCCTGCCCAGGGGCAGCTCTGGCTCCATGGCAAAAAAAAGGGATCAGAAAAACCTTCCAAAAAAACCCAAACTGCTGTGCTGTGCTGTCCCAGGAAGCAGGGCACTCACAGCAAGCACCGCAAAACCTTTGCTGTCCCTCTAGTAGGTAAGCAAGACAGCTGCAGCAGTAGAGCAAGGGTTGGTCAGCGGGGTCCCTTTCAGCACGCATACCTGCAAAGGGCAGGCAGCAGCACCAGGAAGTACATGCTGCCCCTGTGACCTGCCAGAAGCGGTTCCGGGTGCCTTCTTTTCTCGACAGAGCGTCCGGCAGTCTGGGCGCTCTTTGTCGACAAAGCGGATTGCTTTGTCTAGTCGCTTAATGCAGTCTAGACGCTCTTTGTTGCCAGAGGCTTTGTCGACAATATCTGTAGTCTAGACATACCCATAGTGTAGCAATGATGCTATTAACAGATTTTCATAGTGATGATGGGCCGGATTTTGCCACTGTTTCTGACCTTAAAATTTACAGGATTATCAAGCATAAAGTGTTGCTTACTCCATGTCAGTAAGGGCTGCTGAATTGGAGGCAAAAATAGCAATGCTTATCATAAGGAAAGGTCTTGGGTGTGAAATAGTTATTTACAGGGCTCGACAAATCCACTTATCTACTCGCCCGTGGTGAGTAGATTTCAGCTGGTCACCCCGTTCACCAGTGGTTTGCGCATGCGCAGTGCGGGTCTTGCGCATGCGCAGTGCGGGGCTGGCAAGTGGTTTTCACCGCGATCATTGAGCCCTGCTTATTTATATAACACAATGTTGTGCAATGTCATACAGCAACGTAGGCTAAACAATTTTTTTTTATTTAAAAATCTCAGTTGTTTCTCTTTGTTTATGATAACCTATCCCAAGAAACTAATTGCACAATGTACTTACATTTTATGGTTGTGTTTTGGAAAAAGAGACCACCCCAGTTTCTGAGACTTTCTTTCTGTTTTTGTTATTCTGCTCTCTGCTTCTTTAGGAGTATTGCACTGGGTTCGGTGAGTTAGTGCAGCCTTTTTGTGATGGAGAAGGAGGCAAGCCAGTTGGAGAAGGACCACGTCCATAGTGTGTATGAGAAAATTGCTCCTCATTTCCATGATGCACGCTACAAGGCTTGGCCAAAGGTACAACAATTCCTTTCAGATCAGGAACCAGGCAGTCTGATTGCTGATATTGGTAAGTTGGATCCTTGAATATAACAACTGTTTAAAAACATTAAATTAGTTTTAATTATCTTTATAGTGGTCAAAGCAAGGGTTGCCTGTTCTGTATTTAGCGGTACTTTTGGGGATGGTCAAAGTCACATTGCCATAGAATACAGAATCTGAAATGAGTGTTCATCTGCAAAATGAGTGTGTTTTGGAGCTGGTAGATAATCTTTTAATCATTATAGTCTGGCTGCCTGTCAAATTTTCCTCCAGCTGCCTTCTCTCCATCTCTCTTCTATAATGTATCTGCTTCCAGAGCCATCCACAGATACATAGAAGCCATGCAGCTGTGCAACTTTTCCCATAACCTACTTGTGGTGGAACTTACAAGGCCTTTGTGGTCCCCTGGCAGGGAGACCATGGTCCTACCACACCCCAAGAAAGGAGCAGCAAAGAAGTGTCCTCCTGGCACAGAAGCAGTCAATCCAAGCCCAGCAGGGCAAGCTAAAAAGAGCTGCAGCATCTGAGCAGATCACCAGAAGAGCAAGGAAAGGGGCTTCTTCCTGGTCATAAGAGCTTGAGAGAGAACCAGAAGATGGGTACTGATGTCATTTGCATTTGGTGAGAATGAAGAAGATCTGAGGCCTTCAGCTCGTAAGTAAGAGTGAAGAAAAAGGGGCTACTTGGGAAAAGGCTCCGGCTCCTTCTGTTGATAGGTTATCTAAATCCCAAGAAGGGGACAAGACTTAGAATCCCAAATGAAGGGTAGTGTTTAAAGGGCTCAGAGGTAGGGCCGAAGACCTTGCTGAGGAGAGGCAGCATGTTGAACTCTTTGCTACCCTGAAAGGGGTTCATCCATTTGACTGTGTGCGTTGGCCGGAGAGCTGAGCCATTGAAGACCTACAAAACAAGGTTGGCAAACTACTGAGGGCACCAGACTGGAAAGGTCTGCAGTAACACAGTGAGCTATTAGGGCACTGACCTCCCAAGAGCCTCCTATCATCTCACTATTTAAGTATTTTGTCACCTCACTATTTAAGTATGAAAGGACCAAATAGCTGAATAATGTTGTGAATAATTTTCTCTCTGTTATTTAAGATGCTGTTTGTGGATATGCAAGGTTTAATATACAGGAAAAACCTAGAATTTGAAAGCTTTCTATTTTACTAAAATTAAAACATGGACCATGCCATGGCAAGCTTCCCTGTACTGTCATGCCAGTGTGCTTTAGTATGTGTGTGGAGAACAGATGCTGGCCAGCTGGTAGATTTAATAGAATACTAGATCTGGAAGGGACCTCGAGAGATCATCAAGTCCAGTCCTCTGCCCTCATGACAGGACCAAGCACCATCATCTCTGATACATGTCTATCCAACTTGCTCTTAAAATATCTCGAGTAATGGAGATTCCACAACCTCCCTAAGCAACTTATTCCAGTGTTTAAGCACCCTGACAGTTAGGAAGTTTTTCCTCATATCCAACCTAAACCTTCCTTGCTGCAGTTTAAGCCCTTGGCTTCTTGTCTTATCATCAGAGACCAAGGAAAACAATTTCCCCCCCTTCTCCCTGTAACACCCTTTTAGATACCTGAAAACCGCTATCATGTCCCCTCTCAGTCTTCTCTTTTCCAAACTAAACAAGCCCAATTCCTTCAGCCTTGCCTCATAGCTCCTATTTTCTAGACCTTTAATCATTTTTGTTGCTCTTCTCTGGACCTTCTCCAATTTCTCCACATCTTTCTTGAAATGTGGTACCCAGAACTGGACACAATACTCCAATTGAAGCCTAAACTGCACAGAGTAGAGCAAAAGAATGACTTCTCGTGTCTTCTCACAACACTCCTGATAATGCATCCCAGAATCATGTTTGCTTTTTTTGCAACAGTGTCACTCTGTTGACTCATATTTAGCTTGTGGTCCACTATGACCCCTAGTTCCGTTTCTGCACTGTCACTTCCCATTCTGTATGTGTGAAATTGATTGTTCCTTCCTAAGTGGAGTACTTTGCATTTATCCTTATTAAACTTCATCCTGTTTATCTCAGACCATTTCTGTGGTTTGTCCAGATAATTTTGAATTTTGACCCTGTCCTCCAAAGCAGTTGCAACCTCTCCCAGCTTGGTATCATCTGCAAACTTAATAATCGTACTCTTTATGCTATCAGTGATGAAAACATTGAACAGAACCAGCCCCAAAACAGAACCCCACTTGTTATGCCCTTCCAGCATGATTGTGAACCATTAATAATTACTCTCTGAGAACGGTTATCCAGCCAGTTATGCACCCACCTTGTAGTAGCCCCATCCAGGTTGTATTTGTCTAGTTTATTGATAAGGAGGTCATGCGAGACCGTATCAAATACCTTACTAGAGTCTAGATATACCATGTTCACCGCTTCCCCCTTATCCACAAGACTTGTTATCTTATCAATGAAAGCTGTCAGGTTGGCTTGACATGATTTGTTCTTTACAAATCCATGTTGGCTGTTACCTATCACCTTATTTTCTTCCACATATGTGCAGATGAATTCCTTAATTACCTGCTCCATTATCTTTCCTGGCACAGAAGTTAAACTGATTGGTCCGTAGTTTCCTAAGTTGTTCTTATTTCCCTTTTTATAGATGGGCACTATAGTTGCCCTTTTCCAGTCTTCTGGAATTTCTTGTAACTTCCATGAGTTTTCAAAGATAATGGCTCAAATACCTCCTCTATCAGCTCCTTGAGTATTCTGGGATGCATTTCATCATTCATGAAATGTCCTCATTCATTCATTGACATTGCTTACAGGGATGCTATTTGTGATACAGATATGTCCTTACTAGAAACTAAAGTAAGATCACAAAAGGAATTCACATTGACCACCAATCAGATGTCTGATATGGCCAACTCAGGACTGCTACAAACCTGTGCTAGATTCAGGCTTAAAATAAATGTCTTCTCTACTCCTTTTTCAATTTGATAAAATCATCTCTCCATCCCCTTTCTTTTTTTCTTTCAATTCTTAAGGTGTTGATGAAAGTGAAGTATCTATTACAGTGGCGTGGGCCAAATATGTAATGTCACATATTACACAGACTTACCTACATTGCGCTGTGTGTGTACACTGGGCTTTGTGTTTTACATCTGTTTTATCTCTGGGTCTTCTCACGAATGGTTGTGAGGCTGATTTCATAGTAGTTTTTAGTGTATTGTGAACTGTGCAAAATATAAGTGATGCCATTCCTCGGGGATCAGAGGTCTGCATTTGACTGACTGATGAGCCCTGCCTGCTACACCTGAGAGAGAGTTGGAACTTAATTAATTGACTCTTGGAAAAAGAGGGCAGAAGGAAATGGAAGAGGGGATTGTAACAACCTCCAGAAAGCTGAGTGATCAAGGTCTATGCCCAAGTGGTCTGCCATGGGAGCTTGCACAGACAAGAATTACTCCAGGAACCATAGGGATGGAAGGAAGACACTGTGTAGTCCTTCTTTGCTGAGCTTCTGAGGTAAGAACCAGGAAATTTGGGTTACTGAAATTACTGGTGTGTGGGACAGACTTTGGGAAAGAACTACTTGGCCTGCACAGTCTTTGAAAGAAGAGTCTTCAGAGTTTATTGTTTGTTTGTTAAGAACACTTAAATCAACTCATCCTGCTGGAAATGGCTTCTTTGGATTCTTTGAGGGAGCCAAGACAAAATTTACTGGGGAGTGATCTGACTCAGCAAAAGTAAAGCCTCGCCTGATAGGCAAAAGGCACTGTAAAATAAGCCTCAGTCCTTTTATATGAACAAACAAATATGCATTATGAACCATCAAACTGAATATTGCCTGTGACATACAAAGGATTTGAACTGAGGTCTCTAGAAGCAAAAGGCTATTGTACTAGCCCACTGCACTTCCCTTCCTTTTTCTTAATTTGATCTTTTGTTCCAGTGACAGACAAAATCACATCTGGTAACTTCTTAGTTTGAAAAACAGTTTTTACAATTTGAAAATCTATCAGAATTGGTAGTATAAGGATTCAGATACTTGAATCCCAGATGAAAATGCTGGCAATAAAATAGTTCTAGCCTAAAATTATGTTACATTATTTCAACACAGAATTATTTTAGTGTGGGCAGGCTATACATCTCCACATCAGGCACATACAATATGAAGAAGAAACTGCACAAAGATATCAAAGAAAGTTCCAGTTGTCATGGTAACAACAATTAGCAGCAGATAACAACATCAAAACAATGGGTTTAACAGCTTGGTTTAATAGTGATTTAATTACTGAGCTTTCTCATTTGTCTATCTGAGTTTAAATACACAGGGATAATTCAAGGCTGTACTGCTGCTATATGATGCTTCAATACCCACATTTTTGGTCTCTTACATGGAGGAGTGCAGTAATGTCATTGACATAAATATTATTGGTTCTTTATGCCAAGATAAATGCTCTTTAGCAATCCCATCTCAGTGCTTAACGTCACACAGCAAAGAGCCCACTGATTGACAAATAGGAACAGTCTGTGTGCTCATTGTGCTAAAATGATCACAAAACACACAAAATGCCACTATCGTATCATCTTGCTTTTTAAATGGGCAGAGAATTTCAAATTACCGAGGTCAGAGCCCGGCACCTCGCGTTGCTCATCTCAGGAGAACATTCACTTGCATGCAGAAATTGAATGACATGTCTTTCTCCTACTTTTTTTGCAACTTCAGGCTGTGGAAATGGCAAATATCTTCATATCAATTCTCAAACCTATAAGCTGGGCTGTGATTACTGCTTTCCTTTGGTGGAGTCGGCACGAAATGTTGGCCATGAAGTAATGGTGTGTCATAGTCTGTACCTGCCATATCGGAATGAGTGCTTTGATACAGTCTTATCCATTGCTGGTAAGTTTTTTTACATTGGCAATTTCTCTTTGCCAAAATTTCAAAGCATAATCAGGTTTAGGGCTTGTAAGGTGATTTCACAGGTTCTACCAAGTATTTTGGCAGAGGACAACATAAGACTTGAGTAGACCAAGGAAATTTGCACCAGTCTAGTTACATCACTACAAACCCCTCCCCACTTTGCATTGGCAAAACCTGGCTTGCAGTAAATTTCTAGGATAAGGTACACGGGATACAAGCATTGCCTATACCAGGATAGGGATGTAAGTGACTAGTTGAGTGACTACTCAACTACTTGCTCCTCCCACCCTACCCTGCTGCCTCTGTATCAGAGACAGCAAAGGGGGAGGGGAGCTGGTGATGCGAGGGCTGGCTTAAAAGCCAGTTCCCCCCAGCACCATCTCCAGGGTGAGGGGAGGAAGCAGGTAAGGTAGGGCCACAGTGGTTCCAGAGCTGGTGCAAGCCAGGACGTTCAGTCCCGGCTCATGCTGTCCCCACTAGTTAACCCCGCTGCAGCTCTGCACTTTAAATGTAGTAAAAGCCCCGGGGCTCTTACTACATTTAAAATGCAGAGCCGCAGTGGTGGTAGCAAGCGCCTCTTCTTATCAAGTAGTTGATAGAAATTCCATTGACTACTCGATTAGCTAATTAACCATGACTTAACATCCCTACACCAGGATGCTGCAAAAACCCAAATTTAGAAGTCCTATTTGGGTTTTTTGCAGTAGAAAAAAATGTAAATGCTGACCATCTGCCAGCAGGAAAATATAACAAAAAGCCACTCAGGAGCCAGCAAAGGACTCTCTGGTAAAAGAGATTTATGTGGAGAGGAGTAGATTGGGCCCCAACTTGCAGGACCAGCATTGATTTAGCTACAGTAATGAGAGCTGCTGCCACACTTCTAGCCAATGAAGGATTGACCCCCCAAAACTTACTATTTTTTCCTGTTGTTGGAACTTTTAAAACGTTGGCAGCACTTGGTAAGGAGTCAGGGTCAGAGTTGTCTTGCATTTCGGTTTGTCAGAACATGGCAGCTTTTTCTTTTGGACATGTGGAAACCCCATATTTGCACATTCAGATCAGGTAATTATAAGTTAATGTGCTTGTTTCTATATGCAGGAAGGTGCACGTAATAAAGGAAACATGGCACTGCTGGCTTTGTATGCTTATCCAGGGTTTGGGGTGAAGTTGTGATGACACTCATTCCAGTTGAATGTGTAAATTCTTCATGAAATATCCAGCTGTTCATATATCAATCAGTCACTACAGTAGACTGCGCGGTTTTAAAATCATCACCAGTGTTCCATCTTTTCATAACCTGCTTTGATCATCTGCATCACTACCAGCTCCTGTCTTCTCTGTATTCTTACGGCTTCTTTCCTTTTGTTCATTTACCCTGTGCTGCTTCCCTTAATGGGAGAGGACATCTGTCCTTGCAAATGTAATTGAGACCTCAAGTAAGAGTGAGATTGTAGGAACTTCATATCCTTCACTGCTTCTGATTAGTAGCTGAGGGACTGTCCTCTTTGTGGGGCAGTCTTCATGAAATTACATGTCCACAAGTCAAATACTCCGATTAAAAACAGAGTTGATTAAAAATAGAGAAATAGTGGAAATAAAACAAATTGTTTGCTTAACAGAGGAAGATTTACTTTTTTTTATAAGTTAAACAAGATGAGACACTCCTAGCTTTGTTAAAGCAAAATTAAACATGAATATCTTACATCTTGAAATTGGTCACTGATTAGCCTGACACAGCCTCGTCTCCCTGTCTCAGTCTTTCAGCCACGTGGGACTCTTGTTTTTCAAATCCCAAATCCATGTAAAGTTCTGTGATGATTATGAATTCTGGAAGCCCAGCGTTTATAACCATCAATCATGCCAGATATAGTGTTCTGTTCTATTCTATTTAAGTATTCAGGGCGTGCTCATCACTGTAGTATTTGAGTGTCCGATGGAACATATTTCTTCTCTCATCCTTTCCCCAGGTGTAGAAGTGTGTGCAGTGGGGCATTTTTCTTTGGACATTTTTTATTTTTGTGTGTATGTATGTAACGTTAACATCCCCTTTACACATGTTTGTTAGAGAAGGCAAGGTCACAGACACGTGACTTACACTAAGAGCAGCAGGTGCTGAGATTAATGGTCATTAGTTCCCATGGAAGTTTATTCCACAATCTAGAGGCAACTTTGTCTTTTACACAGATGAGCTTTACCCTTAGGCTGTGTCTACATTGGCACCCTTTTCCGGAAAAGGGATGCTAATGAGACAAGTCGGAATTGCAAATGCCGCGGGGATTTAAATATCCCCCGTGGCATTTGCATGAACATGGCTGCTGCTTTTTTCTTTTTTCTTTTTTTCCTTTTTCGAAAAACCTCTCTTCCTAAAAAAGGAGGTTTATGCTGTTTTTTGAAAGGGTTTTTTTTTCCCAGAAACCCCCTACATCCAGACTACTTTCACTTTCAAAAAAGCGATTGGAAGAATTTGCATATCCTCTTTCAAAATTAAAACATAGTCTAGATGTGCTCAAACTATACTAATTTTAGTTTTCAAGGGGCGATGGCTCCATGCTAAGGTGTACTGCTCTCATGCAACCCAGAAGTAGTGATGGTGTGAATAACGGAGGCCAGGTCATCATCTGCCAGGATGTGACTGAAATGATAGAAAGCATTGCCTGCAGGTGCAGCTGTGTGAACTCTTAGAATCAGCAAGGTATCCAAGATTAGTCCTAGACTACAGACTGAATTGACCAACTGCTGGTATGTGCTTTCATCAACAGGTGACTTCATGGCTGCAAACTCTTCATAGTGTTTTCCTTTGCCTACTTGTACAACCTGTCTTGCTCAGGTTCAGCTGTTAATGTCTGAGCTGGTCTTTTTGAAACACAGGAGCATCTCAGTGGTAGTAAGCAGCGTGGCCATATGTGGTAGCAGTTAATATTGCCAACTCATGATTTTTGTATCATGCATCTCATGATATTTAGAGTTTTCTTAAAAGCACAAGCTCTTGGAGTAATAGGGATTATGTAAGAATCTCAGATTCTTCCTGTAATTTTTTAATGAAGCTTCTAGACCATCTTGATTACTGATAAAAGTTTAAAAATATTACTCAGGTGCCCTTTCAAGGATCAAAATGCAAATAAAAGGTATCCAAACTTCTTATTTAAATGTCATGATTTCTAAGCCTATCGTATGGGCTTTAGTCCTGACTTTGTGAGTTTGTGTGTGTGTTTGCTCTAGAGCAGTGTTTCTCAAAGTGGCAGTGTTTCTCAAAGTGGCCCGCAGATCCATTTTGAGAAACATTAGTTAGAATGATGGGTTTTCGCAGTACTGCAGAAAACCCTCCATCTCTGAGTCCATTTTGTTCCCACATATTCTTCTGAATGTCAGTACAAACCAGAGGCTGATGGTAAACATTTTCATTCCCAATTTTTCAGGAGATTGTCTAGCAACCGGAAACATCCTTCAGCAGTGCTAAGCCCAGGACTAGACTAGAAACTTTTGCGAGCATAGCTATGTTGATTAGAAGTAACTTCACAATTTTTGCGATATTTGTATGACTATAAAAGTTGTAATATAAATGCAGATACATTGACATAAAAGTGCTTTGGACACTATAGCTTATTTTGCTCAGATAACTAGTATAAGCTATAGCAGCAAATCACCATAGTTCTTTGCCTGTTATGCACAACATAATTTTACTTCAGTTTAAATTTCTCTCACTGACAAACCAGTCTCTTGATCACACATATATACTGATAGTTTTGTTGTGGTGGCTGTATGCATCACAGGGCCAGCCTGCCCCATTGAAATCACATGGAGGTTTGCTGTTGACTTCAATGGCAGTAGGATTGGGGCCCATGTATCTTACTTTCTTTGTTAAGATAGAAATGTAGCCGTGTTAGTCTGGTGTAGCTAGAACAAAAAACAGGACTATGTAGCACTTTAAAGACTAACAAGACGGTTTATTAGGTGATGAGCTTTTGTGGGCCAGACCCAAGGCTGTCTGAATCCAGTTGGCACATCTATAGATCTTCTAAAATGGCTTTGTCTCTATCTCAGTGTGATTATGCTCTTTAGGAACATAGAATGGCCACACTGGGTCAGACCAGTGGACCGTAGTGATATTACCCAGGACATAATCTGTACTTCAGAATAGCTGTGTCCCATCAGTTCTCCAGTCTGGGGTGTGAAAGCTGTGAAAATAACTGCTCCTGGTCTCATTCACACACAGCCCCTAACATGTAAATTACTCCCAGCTACACTGCAAGAGTGTTTCAGCTAATCATTTCTGAATTCTATTGCAGAGTGACACCAGAAAATTCTCCGTCCCAGACTTGTCCCCAGAAATTGTCCCAGACTTGTCCCCAGCTCTTTCCTTCTGTGCAGTACAAACTGATAGAAAGTATATCATCTCATTAATAGAGAAAGGGCACAAGAATATCCAGAGTGAGCCAGACCAAAGGTCCATATAGTCCAGCATCCTGTTTTCCAACCGTGACCGATGCCAGGTACTCCAGAGAGGAATGAATAGAACAGGTGATCATCAAGTGATCCATTCCCTGTCATCCATTCCCAGCTTCTGGTAGAGATTAAGGTCACCATCCCTGTCCATCCTGGCTCATAGCCATTGATGGACCTATCCATGAACTTTTCTAGGTGTTTTTTTTACCCTGTTATAGTCTTGGTCTTCGCAACATCCTCTGGCAAAGAGTTCCAAAAGTTGACTGTGGTTATGTGAAAAATACTACTTGTGTATTTTTCCAGAACAACCATGTGCAGCACTTTGAGTTTTCAAATGATATCTCTCAAGGCATACATGTACAAAATACATTACTGTTTTGTAAAAGTGGAGAACATAGGGGTACAATCTGTCACAACCATCTAATATAATATCGTGCCTTCTGAGTGGCCAATGCCAGGTGCTTCAGAGGGAATGAACAGAACAGGCAATCACTGAGTGATCCATTCTGTTGTCTACTCCCAGCTTCTATCAGTCA